GAAATGAGTTGCAACTCACAAAAGCTTATGTTATAATAATAAAATGGATAGTCTTTACAGTGCCACCCAGCTCCTCCTTGTTTTTGCTGAAACAGATGAACATGGCTTCCTCTCTGAAGTCTATCTAGCCAGAGAAAGTGATCTGTATAAGAAGAGACAGTTACCGCTACATTTGGAGTCAGTGCACTTCAGTTGGAATGTAAATTGTAGTCTGCATGTGTCGTGCACTGACTGGCCCACATGGACCTTACTGATGAAAACTATCAGATCCTACTGGCCGTTAATGTAGTACCAGGACTACAATGAACACACACTTGTGTACCGACCCCTTGCATGCAGGGGTGACCAGGCCTGCAGGGAGAGCAGAGGAAGGGCGGCTGGTTCCAGCAGTTTTAGTGAACATGCTCAATCCCAACCAAACAGCAAATCTAGGAAGGCACATGACCCCACATGCTGACACCTCCCCACCCCACATATACCCCTCTGCCTAGTAGCACACCATGCAGACAATCCCCTAGTAATGGGAAAGGCCACATTTTTAAACCACTCTGACTGGTTTAAAGTAAACAATGAAGTGACCTTCCAACACATACCCCGCACAGATGTTGCTTAGGACACACTGCTTTATTACAAAGCTTATGTGAAAATCTGAAACCACTTAAGGACATGCAGAACATCTAGTTGCATAATAAAAATGTCATTTGGACATTTTTAAACCAAGTGTGATAGGCTACCTAAGCAGCCTGGTGGGCGATCTGCAATGCCATGCCATAGACCTGGGGGTTTGATTTCTCATCTTTTGTTTTCTGGGTCAACAGAGACTGGGAGTACTGCAGCGTATCATAGAGATGGACAAGGAAGAAGTCCCTGAGTTTCTGATATGTCAAGTTATTCCAGCTTTATCTAAGGAAGCGAGTTGAGCTGGAAGATCTTCAGTTTTTGGTGTGACTACTCTTGTGTTTGTTTTTAACTATTCATTGTTCACAAGCCAAGAGTGCTTCTGAGAGGCATGTGGTATATATTGGAAACAAACAAGAATTCTATCCTTCAGAAGGATGAAAGGACTGAGTTAGAGAAGCTGCTTATAATGGGGCTCAGATTTGCAGGGCAGACTAGTTAACCCTGCCCCCAAACCAGGGCTAACTGCTTGGATGGCAACATGATTATTTCTCATCCACACTACACATTTTAACTGGGTTGTAACTGGATCTCCTGATAGTTGTGCTCACAGTCACAGCTCAAATGCCTACATAGTGAGAGTATAAACAGGAAGAAAGTAGTGGAAACCACCAGAAATTAGGGATGTCAACATGTAGTTGACTATAAGATTAACTGATAAGCCTAGGCTAATCAGTTAAATCTTGTTGACTAAACACATCTTCCCCCCCCCCTTTGCTGCCTCTGTATAAGGGGGGAGTAGGAACTGCTTAACGGGACCGACTGGGGCTTGGATGCGCGCCAACAGCTGCGCCCTATTTCCCGGGCTCCCACTCTTACCACCCTCTTGATTCACCCCACCTTAGCCCCACCAGGCACGTTCTGTTGAGAGCTCCCTCCCCCGCAGTGATAGCTTCATTTTGTTGCCCTGAAGATCCTAAGCACCAGCCTGTTTTTGTTGGTAATCAGTCAGGCTGCACCTGGGTCCTTAGTCCGTATGGACTATTTAACAGCTCCAGCAGTAACGTCACCTCTCAGTTTGTTAATGTCCCGGACCACAGTTTCCCACCCAACCTTACCTCCATCGCCTTTATTTCCCCTGAGGAGAACGCCTCATGGGCATACCCCTTTATCTCCACTAACGCCATAGGGAACTTGTTAACCTGTCTATTTCTTGCATTCATACGGAAACCAATGGCCATGAATACCGAGATCCCATTCCCATTCCCTGGTATTGGGGCAATGACAACAATGAGTACAACCTCACTACCTTTCTAATGGACCACCAAAAGCCAAACACACCAGCTTTTTCGAAGCTCAGTGCACTCCGCCCTGGACATTTCTGGATTTGCGACAACCAAGCCCATGCCACCCTTCCTGCACACGCCATAGGACGCTGCACCCTTGGCTACGTCTAAATTGAGGGAGGAGGCATCTACTCCTACGCGAGAGATGAACATCCCCGCTTCACCCATCGACAAAAACGCGGAGCTTGGGACATTTAGAAGTCAATTGAGGGCTGGTTTGGAAAAACAGCACAGGCTGTGGTCACATTTAACCCCGTAGGCAATTTGCTTTTGCAAGAGGAAGTTCGAGCCCTTGGCATTAGCATTGAAAGACTTGGCAATAAGACTGCTACTGCCTTACTTCTTACTAATCAAAAGGTAGAAGAAATGCGCGTGTATGTAATGCAAAACTGTTTAGCTTTAGATTATTTGTTTTTAAAGGAATCTGGGTTTTGTCGTTGGTTAGGCAACAGGTACCCTCAGTTTGCAGGTAATGTTGTATGGAAATTAAATCTATTGAGCAAAATGTAACACAGATTACTGATGATATCGAGGAGGTTGCTAAGAAGGCCAGAGAATCTGTTTCTTGGTGGGAGAACATATTCAGCTGGGTCCCTTCCATATTTGGCCTTGGGGGATTAAGACAGTTTTTCTGGTCCCTTTGTGTCATATTGCTGGCTGTTAGCTTTGTGCTGTGCCTTGTTTGCGGCATCGTAAAAAACCTCACGAACCGCATCTCCGCCCTACCTATCTCCACGCCCGAACAAGAGGGGCCACTTGCCTTTGAGGAGGCGGAGACGGACGAGGAGGTGGAGGTCTAGGTCTTCCCAGACGCGGCCATGGCCACGGGGGCATGTTAGAGAAAAAACTGCCCCCCCAGTAAAAAGTTTGGCCAGGCCGCTTTTGCTATAGTGGGCTACAGTACTCCTTGGGAGAAACCGGCCGCACCCTTCCTGCATACCTTTGCCTTTAGAAAAAGGGAAGGTGTGAAAAGGGGAAAATAGCCCCAGACTCTCTCACCCCTCACCTTGGCGTGAGAACTGCGGAGCTTACCTGGTTGCATGAAACCTGCTCAGTTTCAGCCCAACCCCTGGGACACAGACCCCCTACTTGGTGACCGTTGGGCCATATATGGTAATATGCAAGCGTGGAAAAGCAATGTGCAGATTTGGGGATAAATACCTATCACACATGTCGCTCTAGGCGGTCTTTGCAACTGTCACGTTACTGGATTTTGAGGGGAGCAGCCAGATCACTGCTGCACCCATGGGGGGGTGTTGGCCCCAAAAGTGGCACAAAGGGGGGGCCATGTGAGGTGTCAAATAGAAGCCTATTTCCTTCTGATTCCATATATGCTATTCATGTGATTGTATAATGTCGGTATGTGAAGTTATAAGCATGTATTTTGTGTGGATACCAAATGTTTCTCTATATGTGGTTGAACTATGGGCAAAGCAGCTCAGCCTATGGACATGCTAACGAGCAAAGCTCTGGAACAATAGCCCTCTATAGACTAAGGACACACCTCAAGAGTGGTGACTCATACCTAGGGGCTACCAGCAGGGAACACAGGGATAGGCCACAGGCCAGGTGACCTGCTGTAGCCAAGAAGAGACCAGGAAGGAGGGATAAATAGACCATGTGGCTGACTCCATCTTGGTACTCAGCTCAGCACTTCATCCCAGAGGCAGCAATGCAGGGATCGAAGAGCAGGAAAGAACAGTGGACCTGTCCTGATCCTAGGATGCGCAATAAGGACTTTTAAGCCAGCAGCTGTAACATCTCTGCTAAAGCCTGCATCGAGAACTGGGAGATTCAATGCATGTAATGTACTATCCTTTAACAACCTTACTCTCATGCTTTTCTTTATTGTAGTAATAAACCTTTAGATGTTAGATGCTAAAGGATTGGCTCAGCATGATTTGTGGGTAAGATCCAGAGGGTAAATTGACCAGGGATCTGTGGCTGGTTTCTTGGAACCGGACAGAACTTGTTCGGGGTAGGTGGGATTGGGTTCTAAGACCCCCCCACCTGCGTATGAGGCCCGGGGCCATCTGGGGCACGGATATTGCTGGGGTGTCGGAGGGGTTTTGCTCGTGAGGCTTCAGGCAGGCTTCTGAAACGCTCTGTGGGACTGGTTTGTGGCCTGTTTGGGAAGGTCACCAGTCTGGGGGCTGTAAGGAGCCCCATATTTGAGCAATTCGCCCTGAGCGGACGCCCTCAGTGGTGCCCAGACCTGGTCCGGTCTGTCACAGCAACACACGTACCACCGTGAGTGTGCCTTCCCGCATACTTCAAAGCACTGCCGGCCTGATCAACCGACCAGCCACCTCCCCCGACTCTCAGGCGTAACCAAGGCCTTCGCAACCGAACTGATATCTTGGAAATGTTCCGTGTGCTGTGTAAGTTGGTATGTATGATTTGATTTTTTCTTGTTGTATAAGCTTAGTGTTGCAGTAGTTTTGGGTAGTACATAAGAGTTTGCAGTTATCACTGTTATTTAATTAGTGTAGCTGGATATTTTTAGAATAGAGATTATTCCCCTTGCCATTCCCATCCTTATATCTCTGACACATTTAACTAGAAATCATAGAATAAATATAATAAATACTGTAAATTCATTATTAACACGGTCTATTAAAAATCTTAGAATAAATACTATAAATTCATCACTGTTATAAATAAATATTTTTTATTTGCTAAAACAGTCCACCTGGTTCTGTCCTTCCCCCCCCTTGGGTATGCATCATCGGACCTGTGATTCTTGAGACATTTATAACCAGTAAAACACAAAATGTCGACATCACATGGTCAAAATAGACAAAGTAAATATCCTTAAATCAAGCGTTAAGTTCTCAAGTAGCATTCTCTCTCATTTTGTCTGTCTGTATATTTCTGTCATCACTGATGGAAATATTTGTTATTGGTGTGTGTGGCAAAATCTATGTTTATGAATAGAAATCTAATTCCTCCATGCCTAAATAGACAGCTTACTGAATATTGCATGTTAAGATGGTTATAGTGATTGAAGTAAATATTTGCATTGATTATACTTACAGTTCCAGGCCTTGTGAAGTCAATGCTGTGCGCTATGCTTTGTCTCATCTGATTGCTAAACAAGCGAACACAGATGCTTTGAAGATATTCTGGTGTGATCTAAAATAAGGAAACAAAACAAGCCCAGGGAATGACATAACATTTCCATTTGACTTCAGCCAGGTATTTGTACAGCAGGTCAGTGCTTCTTGGGTGATCGGACCCAACCATCAGCAAGTGACAGAACAGTTCTAGATGGGTCTGGAACCCAGGGTGGAGGTAAGACCCTGCAGAGGGAGGAGAGGGTGGAAAGGGGGAGCAAGCTTGTCCCACAGTCATTCATGGGGGCTGGACCCGGCTCTGGGTTTTTCAGCCTGGCATGTGGGGTCGCAGCCCATTCAGGTTTGATCTAGCCACCCACGCACATATCATGAAGGGGGCAGACAGACAAACACAAGCGGTGATGCAACCCTTCGCACCAGGATGCTGCACCATTCACTCAAAATTTGGACCCACTGCCCTTCCAATCATGATGGCAAACCTGAGTGCCACTGTGACTTCGTGTACCAGGTCACAATGCCTGGAATGGGGTACTAGTCTCAACTACATGGGATAGGAGCCATCTCTGCAGGGTGAGTGCAGGGTCGGTTTGCTCTCCATCCCCTCCCCTGGGGATTCCCCTTTGCACTATGCTGGGATTAGGGCTGTAGTACCAAGGAGGGTGCTGCTGTGTGTAGCTGGTGCTCCAATAGTGGGGCACCAAGAAGCAGGAGGTGGCAAAGGATGCTGACCTATGATTTTGGGCCTCCCGGCTAATTTAGATCCTGTGTGGGCCACACACACAAAAAAAAGACAAAATGCAGTTGATGGTTCACCTTAGTAAAAAGTTTTGGAGAACCTCTGCAGTAAACA